CTCTCTCTCTCTCTCTCTCTCTCTCTCTCTCTCTCTCTCTCTCTCATTTTCGCAAAAGATACTTCTTGAACTGTGTCCCAAAAATCACAGGGGAAGCTTCAAACTGAAGGGTCTATACTAGTTCGACACTTCGGATACGTTCGTGACACGAAATGTTGTGGGTGACTATACGGTGCTTGTCTTCTCTCAGCCCTCTGGCGTGCTAATATGCCATTTCTTGCAGGTTTCCTCTCTGTCAATTTCCTGTGATCTCGGATATATACGAACTTCGCTTATCTGGGAAAATCACATTGCCTTGCTGCTCTTCTACAATGATCGTCTGAAATGCTTTGAAAAGCGAGGCTGATGATCTCCGCGTGTGCTCGACCCTGCGCCGTCCGTGTGGCGTCTCGAAAAAATTAAGTACAGTCTCTCTGAGACACTTTGTCTCTCGCTCTTTCTGTCTCTCTCTCTTTTTCTATATCTCTCGCTCTTCAAATGTACACGACCATTTCTTGCGGACTTCCTCTGTCTGTCTATCTCCTGTGATCTCGGATACATCCGAGCTTCGCTCATCTTGGAGATTCACATTACCTTGTTGCTCTCCTACAACGATCGTCTGAAATGCTTTAAGAAACGAGGCTGATGGTCTACGCGTGTGCTCGACCCTGCGTCTCCTGAAAATTAAGTACAGTCTCTCTAAGACTCTCTGTTTCTCGCTCTTTCTATCTCTCTCTCTCTCGCTCTTTTTGTCTCTCTCTCTCTTTCTCTCTCTCTCTTTCTCTCTCTCTCGCTCTATACATGTACACGATCATCGGTGCAGAACTCCAATTCATTCTGGTCCTCACACTTCTAAATACAGGTCATCCTACTCCTCTAAGTCTGTGAAGAGCCACAACTCGTTTTACTCACAAACTCGAGTTTGTGTCATTATACTGTTCTGATTCGGATGAGTGGGATGCTCAACTCCAAGTGAAACTATGACACAGTGTAATATATTATTCTGTTCTGGTGCTCCACATCTAGACACAGGAGATATATGTACTGAGGCAGCAGTACATATAACACAGTGGTAACAGATATTTGTACTGACTCAGAGGCGTATAACACATTGTATACTCTGCTGTGGTGTTCCACATCTGGACACATCCGAACCACGAGAGGAGCGCAGCAGATATATGTACTGACTGTGCTCCTCGCCTCAAAGCTGCTTTACTCCTTGTTCGGATGTATTCGGATTTGGAATACTACACCAGACTATAAATTCGTTTCATAATA